CATCTTGGCAAAAGAATTAAAAGAATCATACCACACTGATATATGTGTACCCATGTTCATAGCAGCACAATTTTTAATAGCTAAAACTTGGAAACAGCCCAAATGCCCATCAACTGGAGACTAGATAAAGAAAATGTGGGAGGTTTTAATAAAATGCAGTGCTACTCACCCATAAAAAATGAGAAATTAGAGACATATATAGCTAAATGAATGCACATTGAGGTGATACTCTTAAGTGAAATAAACAGGACACACACGTGTAAATACCCAATAGTTTCTCTAGTGTGAGAAACTGAAAGTGTAAATAAGGACTAAAATGTATAATAGACAATGTGAAATAGGAAGAAAAGGGGCAAAGGGGAAGGAGAAGTGAGATGGGTAGGGGAAAGAAAAGAAGGGAATGAAATTAATATGAGAAAATGAAAAAAAGGAAACAAAGTCTTTGTAAATAGGAAGGTATGGATGGGTTGAAGGGAGGGCAGGGGAATGGGGAAGAATAAGAACCAAGAGAGATTATGTAAAGATGCAAATTTCCAATGATGAATGTCATTATATTGCACTCCTAAAATGTACCAATAAAATAACATTGTTTAAAAAAAGAAACCAGAAAATAGTTGGCACAGAGAGGCAGCAAAAAAATTAAAAAATTAAAAAAAAAAAAGAATTATGGAAAGGCACGTTAGTTCCCTATTGCTGTCATCATAAGTCACCACAAGTTCAGTGGCCTAAAACAAGACTAATCTATTATCTTCTAGTTCTGGGGTCAAAATGAAAGGGTCAGCAGAGCATTGTTTGTTCTGGATGCTCTAGAGACAACCGTTCATTCTACTTTCCAGCTTGTAGAGGCAGCATACATTCCCTGGGTTGTAACTGCATCACTGCAATCCCTGCTTCTGTTGCTACATTTCCTTCTATGATTCTGACACTCTGTTCCCTTCCTCCTATCATTCATCCATCTATCTGTCTATCTATCTATCTATCTATCATGTATCTATCTTATCTATTTTTGATAGTAGCCATTGAATGCCAGGCCTGCCACACTGAGCTACATTCCCAATTGTTTTATTTTTATTTTTTTACCTGTTTGTTTTTGAAACAGGGTCCTACTGAAGTCACTAAGTTGTCCAGGCTGGGCATGGACTCGTGATTTTCCTGCTTCCCATAGTGCTGGAATGCTGGGCACTACAACACTCAACTTTCCCTTCCACTTATAAGGATCCTTGTGATTGTGCAAGGCCACCAAAGTCATTCAGGTAATCTTCCTGTTCCAAAATCCTTAGTCCCCTGCAGAGGACCATAACACTGATTATGCCCAAGGCAGGCTGTGAAGCGTTAACCCCACAAATGGCTTGTTTATAGAAGTGAGTCTGGCCGAAGCTTACCCGCTGAGGTCAGAGTAACTCGCACCCAAATTCCGTTCCCACAACTAAAACCTTCAGACCAGAAGGACAATGTTCTAACTACAACCATATATGTTTCCTGTTCTGTTCCGAATTTGAGAATGCTTTGTCTTGTCCTTTATGAGCCTTGTTTACATTAATTTCTATAAAAACCTCTCATAGTTCGCCTTTAACCCAACTGATTGTCAATAAAAGTGCTTGGGACTGACTAGGGCCTTTGTCGGTTGCACTGGCATTGGTCGACCTGGCACCTGGCTTTTTCTCTTTTAGTTCTGTCTCTTAGTGTATTTTTTTCTCAGGTCTGCATCACAGACTGGGCAAGTAGGGATTAGAGACTTACTGTAGGGGTCTCTGGCAGTCCCCTGTTTAAAGGCTCTTTTGTCATATAGTACACAAGTTCTAGGAATTGGACATGGACATCTTTGTAAGGCTATTGTGTGCTTACTACAAAAAAGCATTGATGACCTCTTCACATCATTTAGACAAGTGGGGCACAGCCACTGGTTATTTTGCTGCTCTTCAGGGATATTTGGTAATATCCAGAGACATTTTTTGGTTGTCACAACCAGAAGGGATGTGACTGCATACTGATGGGTACAGACCAGGGATACTGCTAAATATCCTATAGTGTCAGCACCCACAAGAAAGAATTATCCAGCCTAAAATGTCTGCTGTTTATTTGAAAGCATAAGATTTATTTAAAGTATAAGATTTCTTGAAATTTTCTGAGTTACGAACGTATAATGCAATAGAAGTCAGTTTCAGGACTTAGACTTACATAGAAAAGTCTGAAAAATCACATACAAGCTCTGCAACTCCAAATTTTTGACAATCATAAATGGCAAGTAATGAAACTAATAGTAGAGCTTCGAACCTTGATTTAAGTTGTTATTTGTTAAGTACTGTTTGCTCTATTCTAGGTCTGGTCAATCTGATGTATTTCCTATATAAGCAAGTCAAAATATGTGTTATTAAAATGATTGTAGGCATTTTATGAATACTTAAATCACACATGCTCGGATTGTAAATACATAACACCTAAAAGATTTCAAGATAATCCACAGCTTTCTGTAGCATTTTGTTTTTGCCTTGGCATGACTTGACTTCTATTTCTTGACTTCAAAGGATCAGAGAGAAAAGTACATGTGCCATGACTTTAGGCACATGTACTTCCTCTAGCAGAAAGATTCAAGTTGGAACTACCTTTCACCTCAGCTAAGCACCTTGGGTATCAACACTTACTTTTGCAAAATCCTCAAGAATTTTTGTGCTCAGGGTAGAACTCTCCCAACCTTTTATCATGATTGTAGAATTGCTAGTAGGATAGTTTATGTTGTTTAAAACATATTTCTTTCCATATTTATTTTCCTTTCCATTTACTCTATTCTTTATTCTTGTTTCTGTCTAAGATTTCTTCTTAGCGTTTTCCTAATTTGCAGAAACTTATAAAAGTAATATTTGTATTTTCTGTGGTGAAAAGATTTCTAACCAGCCAAAGTTGATGTGTATATGGGTATAGGGGAGGAGAACGCTTCATTTCTTTTCTCCAGGAAAAATAATATAACTATGAATACAAAAGTATTCTAAAACTTGTAAGCTAATAGAACAGACACACAGCTATGCTACAACTTTGTTAACCACTGATTTCTACTGTATACATTTCTCTGCCAAGGTACAGTTCTGCAAGGTGTTTTATGCTTGGTATGATTTTTAAGCTACAATTAAAGGAGGCAGGGTAAATACATTTTCATGAGCCAAATACCATTAAAACCACATTTCTACACATTATTTACCAACTAAGGATTGAGGCTTCAAATGTCACCTTGCTCCTTAATGTAGGTACTACTAAAGGGACCTGCCAGACCACTGGGCAAATCGGCATAGGACCCAGAGCAAACTCTCAGCAGAAAGGCAACAGAGAAAGGCAAACGGTACACATTCAGGACATTAGACTATAACCTAGGACTCCTGGGTATTTTCCAATCATTATCTTGCAAAGTCTAGCGAATGATAGAAACCCAGATAAGAATAGCCAATAAAAAATGGTAAATGGGCATAAAGAATGTATTTACATTCCAGGATGCTGAACTCAGTTACCACCTTTCCTCTCCTTGAAGAACAATTGTGTGTGTCATTTTTGTCACCACACTCTAATTGATATGACTTATATAGCTCCACACACTTTTCAGTTTCCCTTTCTTTTATTTTCCTTGTACCCAAATAATTTATTGATGTCATCATAAATTCAGTGCTTGTAATTCTCCTCTCCTTTTGAGAGCTCAGAGATTCCCATGGCTTCCACTAATCACCCACAAGTTGACAGATCCCAATTCCAATTCCAGCTTTTTATACCTCACCTCTACTTTTCTGCTGTCTAGCCTTCTTGGATGTTATTCCAAGCTTGGACTAAACACATGCAAATTCACCTCCTACCTTCTTTGTTTTTTGGTTTTGTTGTTGGTATTGGGGATCAGGATCGAACTCTCGGGATCTTGCACTTGCGAGGCAGATGGCAGGACTTCTTTGTTTTTTTGATAGGCTGCCACTGTCCTCCTCAATCCCTTGGATTTTTAAAATGTGACATCATTTTCTACTCACTCACACCCTTCATTTCATGTAGCAAGTCATTTTCCTGAGTCATCGGGTTCTCCCTGCCTGTTGTCTCAGCAGTGCTCTCCTTGCACAGTCAGCAGGGCTCCTTGGCTGAATCCTGCCCCACAGTGGCAGCTCCCACTTCCTGCCCTCCCACACTTCCTGCTTCTCTCTCAGTCCATCCAGTCTTGCATTCCCACAATCATCTCTCAACTTTTGCTTGATCATTTCTCTGTTTGAAAAAAAAAAGTAAAAGCTCTTTCTACTTTATTACATTAAGGTTATACATGGATTTTCAAGGCTTTCTATAATGTGCCCATATCTATCAAGCTTATACTTTTACTGCTTCTCCATAGCATGATTTATCCCCATTGCTTTTTCTCCTTGATCAGAATTCCCTCTTCTGCATTTGTCCTTCCAAATTTTATCCCACTTCAAGGCTTGCTCCAAATCTCAACTTCTCTACCAGCCTTTCATGACTATATGTTACTCCCTTAATTTCCACCTCTTTAATGATTTAGTACTTAATGATATACTCACCATAATACGTTCATTTTCTTTCTCTAACTACATGGCTCCATATAAATAAAAGTATATTTCTTTACCTCCTTACCATATATCCCAGGGCAAACAGAATATGGAAACTAATCTATTGCTTAAACATATTTTGAGCTCAGCATGGTGGCGCATGCCTATAATCACAGCACTGAGGAGGCTTAGGTAGGAGAATCACCTTGAGTTTGAGGTGAGCCTGGGCTACATAGTGAGCTCAAAGCTACCCTGAACTATATAGCAAAACCTTGTCCCAAAAAACAAAAAACCCGAAACAAACAAACAAACAATGAATATATATATATATATATAATTTCCTTTACCATAAAGTGAGAACATGAATAATCTGCAATGAGTAGGAGTATAAAAACAGCACATGTAGAGATCTATTAACATTTGATTTTTAAACGTTACATTTTAATTATAAAACTACTAAATTCAAAAACAGTTTTTTACCTGATTTTATGCAATCTGATGACTTGCAGATACCATCTAGAAAAACAAGGGTAAATGTATAAATATTTGCAATACAGGTTTTCTAATTTCTTTTTATCTTTTTTCTTTAAAAACTACCAAATACACAACTTCTTATAGTAAGAAGTTGCTTAAATATTATATATAATTATCAGTAGTTAGAAAATAATACAGAGGAATAAAATAGGCAAACCTTAGATTTGACTTTGATTATGAAACTATTGCTATCATCTTTACAAAATGGGCCCCAGGCCTATTAAATTGAAATAATCACTTGTTTCAGCCATCATTCAGTAATCATTGTTTCCTATTAAAGAGCCAATCTATACTAATCCCTATTGTGAAAACTTCTAAGACTGCAATTAGACTTCTTAAATTCCTGTGAAGCTTCTTAGAATTTCAATGACACACAAAAATTGCCTGATGACTATTACTGAAGTTGGCTATAAAACTGTGTATATTTTAATCAAATAAAATTACACATGAGAATCCTCATAAAATAAATACAAGTGCACTAAATATACTTGGCAATTAATAACGTAGCACAAACATAAAAGACACTGAACTTTCAAAGCTCACTGCTTTGACATACTTTTACATTTTATAAATGAATCTTTGTGTCATTCCTGTGTGTCTATCCTTAATACATTTGCTAGCTGGGCAGCAGAAGGATGAGATGAAGATTTCCTTCTCCTTCGCATTGCTGACTACACAGGAGTGGGAGGAACTCACCATCGTACGTTGCATAGAGAGCTATCATGGTCACAGCTATGATAGTAAGGAGCAGGACAAGGACTGAGAGACTGATCTCCAAAGGAGTCCATCGCTGTTTCTTCTTTGGCTTTGGAGTGTTGATATCAGTTATATCCATCTGACTTTCAGATCTTCCCATCACCTAAAATCTGCCAAAAATAAAAATACAAATAACAATAAATAAATGCATAAAAAGAAAATCTGTACATAATTTTACAAATGTGCTGGATCAAAATAAGAAGTTAATTATTTTAAATTAAAAATAAAAGTTTTATGCTGAAAAGTCAAAATTTTGACACTGAAAGCAAAAAGTACAGAGCCATAAGAATGACACAGGTCTCAGTCACAACTTTTCTTTTTTTTTGATATATCCTTGAAGAGCCCCACAAAATTAAATAAAAGACTTGCTTAGACACTCACATAGTGTTACTTCAGAAGTTCATTAGCAAGTACTTGCTGTATTATCATTAAGAAAGTTTTAAACTCACCCTTCTGAACTTTGGACTGATGTCGAAGGTTTATTTTGCACATTGCTTCAGTGGTTTATAAGCTCAAAAATCAATGACTAATACATTGAGGGTTTGACTAAGCAATAATCTGAAATATAACTACAAATAAAACCCAAAAAGAATAAATATTTGAGGTAGTTTATTTGAGTTGTAAAAACATTTAGTTCTAAAGCTCAAGATGATTATTCCTGCTGATGTGAGTATCTATTAACTGGTTAGACAACAGTCTGAAAATGATCATTCACTGAATCAAAAGTCACTGGTTTACACCCTGCAGTGAGAATATTAATTGCATCAATGTTTGTGCAATTTAAAGAGGAAAAACAATTTTGATTAGAAAAAAAACTATCAGGTCAAGGTGTCAATTGTTACTTGTATTATCATAGCTAACATTTACTGAGCTCTCTCCATGTGCCAGTCACAGCCCTTAATGATCTACATATGCTAATTCATCTAATATTTCTTAGCAGATAGTAAGATTCCATTTCTATACTGTAGAAATTGGGGAACAGAGAAACCAGGTAATTGGCCCAAGCCTACACAAACATACAAATGTAACTATATTATCATGCATTAAAAGCAATTTTATATTTTATTACAGAAATTTAGGATAGAAAATCAAAGGGACACAGCCAAAATATTAAATTTCATCACTTCTTTTAAGGCCTAGTGATTCTATGTAATACACTTACCAAAGGTTAAAAAAAACCCAAAAACGTAAAAAGCACTTCAGTTTTTCTGTAGGACTGTACAAAAGATCTCAACTAAAAAAACAGATTAGTTCTTTATGACTCAATACAAATTAATCATAGAATTTGGTTTTTAGATAAAGAGACTGCTCAGAAATGCTCTTATCGCTAAAAAATCATTGTTGAATGCACATAATTCCCTGAAAATGTGTTTTGTGGAAACTGAGCCACCAGAGAAAGTAGAACTGACTCTATGCTTGCAGTGTGATCTGGGATATCCAGCAGATAACTAGGCACTTGTTCTTTCCAGTGAGTTATTAATAAGTCAACCACAACTGGACTTTAAGGTACTAGAGACAAAGTCTTAAGCATGATGGCCTCTTGATTGTATAATCCTACAAACAAGGACAGACTATCAAATAAAAACATTTAATTGGACAATGAAAACTGTATCTACTCATGAAAGTGGAATGTGATGTACATGATTGCTAAAATCCCTTAAATAATGGTCATGTAACTCATGGTGACTTAGTCTCACAGCCCCTTGGGTTATGATATACAATTGCATTTATTGTATTCTTTTTTAAATAGAGTTGGTGGTTGAGTAAAGGACAGATAATAACAAATTTAATATTCTGGACACCTTACAGAGAAATAAACAATAAAAAGAATAATTTTCTCAGTCCCCTTAGATTTTGAGACTGATCTTTAAAAACATAAAATATTAATTAGATTTGCTTGAGTATTTCCCCTAAAAATGTCTTCCCCTGCTCCAATAATTTCAGGGAATAATCCAGAGAAATGTTTTACTGGCATAAAAATCCACTTCTTCTTTTTCAAAGTTCTTTCTTGGAAATGTCAACCAGTGTGTATAAAGTAAAACTTAGGATTGGGGGAGGGCAGCTATAAGAGTGAAGTAGCGGTGCTCTGTGGCACTGCTTTAAGCCAGTAAGTGAGCATTTCTTTTTTTCTTCTGAGTACTATTTCCTGGCTTCCCTTCCTTATTCTTGAGAGGAAAGAGGTGAGGCAGCTGCATAAATAGTTGTGAAAAAATTAAGGCAATGGCTAAAACTGCTTAGTTCTTTTACTTGCAGCAAAACAATATCATCTTCAAATTACAGTGGATCCTCAAGTTACAACAGGCCTAACATAAGAACAACTTGATTTAATTAGGTTAATGGAAGATTCATCTGCCTCTTGATATCTATAGTGTGTACCCAGGTAAACATCCAGATCTCAGCTGTACTGACTTAAAACCAACTTGAGTTACAAACAGCCCTTGGGAATGGACTGAGTTCATAAGTCAAGGGTCCATTGTACCTGCAAAGTTTTTCTCCATCTTCTGGTCTTCTAAATGCTTTTCAAATTTTCCAGAGAAGTACTTTGGCCCCTTAAGTACCACTTTTCAATAGTGTAAAAAAGTAGAAATGCTACAAGTTTAACTTCCTAGTTAACTTTGTCATTCATTTACAGTTAATCGTAGATGACTCATTTTCTTTTAAGGGGTCAGAAAGCCTGGATTAGTGGTACAGCCCTGTAATTCCAGCACTTGGGAGGCTGAGGCAAGAGGATCACTAGGTGTTCAAGGCCAGTCTGGGCTACCCAGTGAGTTCAAGGTACTGGCCTGGACCCCATCTTGAGAGAGGGAGAGAGGGGAGGGAGGGAGAGAGAGAGAGAGAGAGAGAGAGAGAGGAGAAAGAAAGTGAGGGAGAGAGGAGGGAGGGAGGGGAAGGGAAAGGGAAAGGAGAAGGAAAGAGAAGAGGAGGGAGGAAGCAGAAGGAAGGAGGGAAGGAAGAAAAGAAAAGGAGAACGGAGGGGTCAGAATATTGAACTTGAAGATGGAACATAGCTCTCACTCACCCTGTTACTTACATATCCAATTTAACCACACACATCCAGCTTTAGGAGGGGGCAGGAGAAGAAGGGGACAAGAAAACAATAGAATAAAGAATACAAAAAAATTTAAGGTTCATACTTTTAAGTTTCACATAAAGCAGTATATTGAAAAACATCCCCACATTCTTAAAATAGTTAACCTCAACCTCAACTGGGGATATGTTAAAAAGCTTATTCCAAAAAGTAGATACCACCACAGAAAGGAAGAATTAGGGGGCCTAATTTAACAAAACCTCTGTGAACTTCAACTTGCCAACATCATCAGAAGATTAAATTATTATCTTGTTTGAGTATAAGCTGAATTTAAAAGTCACGTGAAGCAGCAATTCTTCTATCAGTTGAGCATAAACTTTATCACTGTATCAGATTGTCAAATCATGAAACCAGAAGGGTACATGATTTGTTACAGGGAAATTTGAGCCTAAGCATTTTTCATCTTCTCAGCATATTACAACATGAAGTTATTTGTACAAGTCTATCAGACTGTGCTATGTAATTACAGTGTGCATAATGGAAACTGAGGCACAGGAAGGCAAAGCAGGCTACCTATGAGATTGTATCTGCAAAAACTGGGGAGGAAGGGACTCAGGAGAAATCCTCTTGTTTCCTGGACCTTACTTTGTACATGTTTCCCCGGCCTGAAGGAAGTATGGAGCTCTGGCCACAGAGTCCCAGCTGAGTCCAGGAAACTCCCGAATAATTTTTCTAAGAGCTAGAATCCAGCAAAAATGCAGGGGAGTGAAGCTACACACACTCCCTCAGAGCCTATTTGCCGATTAGCAGCTTCCAAACGCTGACGCTGCAAGTCAGGTACTAGTTTTCCGTTTACTAAAATTGCCATTTGAATCATTCATGGAAGAGGAATAGATTTGATCGCGAGGCTGGAGAGGGATGCTCAGGTGCAAGTGCCCTTCTTTTTAAATTGTACAAATAGACTGACACCGGTTAAGCAAGGAAAGGGTTTTTAAAAGCACACACACAAAAAAACTTCCATTTACACAAGAACACCTCCAACCCGCGCCAACCAACCCTAGTGCGATTTCAGCATAAATTATATAATAGGAAATCAAGGTTCAAAGCACAAGGAAGAGGCAGGATCATGAAAAGGTCTTCGGGTTAAGAAAAGTAAAAATAGAAAAGTGAGTTAAACGAGGAAAAAAAAAACCCAGACAGAAATCAAAATGAAAACAAACCTTGCTTTAAAAGCACCCAGTGTCTGTACAGCGGAATGGCAAATTCCCAGCCCCCAAATCAACCCCGGTGCAATTTGGTAGCGCAGATCTTGATAACCGAGCATAACTCCCGGAGGCTGAGGCTTCAGGGAGCTATGGAAATGAGCCACGAGAGGCGACCCGACCTCACCAGCAGAGCCCTCCTCCAAGTCGCCCCGCGGCCCCAGCCCAACCCGCACTCCCTGGGTCGCTGGGCGGCTCCCGCCCCGGGCACGCCTCCTTCGCCCGTGGCCGCGAGGCTGGGCGCCGGCGCCGCTCCGGACCCGACCCTCGGACCCTGCCCCGCGCGTCCTGCGTGCTCCCTGCGCCCTTTAGACCCGAGCGCCCCAGCTCCCAGGTGCCGGCTTGCTCGCCCGGGACTCACCAGTGGGATTCGGGAGAAGTTGGAGGCTGCGGAGCAAACACTTCCCGACCAATGAGCGCGCGGGGCCGATGGCGGCAGGCTGGAGGGCGGCCAGGGGGCCTCGCCGAGCGCCCGCGGGCTGTGCGTCCCCAAGGCGAGCCCCAAGCAGCGCGCGCTCCAGACGGAGCCCGCCGGACTCTGGGAGCTTCCCGGCCCGCCTCGGCCCGGGCGGGAGGGCACCGGGGAAGCGGGGCATCCCTCGGACCCTCACCGGAGAGACTCACCGTGGCCTCTCAGCAGATCCCGCGCGGGGACTTGGGCGGGTGCTCCCGCCTGCGCTCGGTCCGGCCTCGCCACTTGCACATCTCCGCGCCCCGCGCCTCGCGCTCCCCCACCCCTCGCCGCCGCAGGACCTGCGAGGAGCAGTTCCCCGGGTGACCTGAAGGCTTCCTCTAGGTCTCCCAATCCTGTCACATCATGTGAGGGGGCGGCGAGAAAGTCCCCCTCCCAGTCCCCCACCTCAACATTCCCAAAAGGGCTTTGCCAAACATTCTTGGAATTGCTTAGCTGCTGGGGTTTCCAGAAAACTGCATTATATCCTCGGGATTCGGTCGCGCGGGTTAGTAAAGATTCTGTCTGTCGCCCTAGCGGACCTCTACAATAACGCTTCTCTCTCACACTTTCTTCGCCTCTTCTCGCTTCTTTCCTCCTGCATCCAAGCTTCCTTCCTTTCTCAATTATTAATTTTTTTCTTTTCTCCTTTATTGTTCTTTTCTTGCCCTTCTCCTTTTTTTCATTTCCTCCGTTTCCTTTTTGTCTCCCTCTTTCATTTTCCTCTTTACTTTTTCATTGTTTCCTTTCTTCTTGGTCAGAGCAATATGATGTGAAGATCTGTAGTGAAACTGATCTCCTGACTCTAGGGACTCTTATGAGTACAGTGCGTGTGTGTGTGTGTGTGTGTGTGTGTGTGTGTGTGTGTGTGTGTTGGGGAGGAGAGGATGGGGAGCAAGGGAGAACAAGCAAAATCAACTAAAACGTGATTAAAAATTAGTTATACAGTGGCTGGACCCTTGGTACTGTCCATGCAGCCAAGCGGCACACTATTTTGACTTAAGACACTGAGATTCTTAAGGAGTGAAAAAAGCCCAAGAAAATGTATATATTTTTGCACAAAACACTGCCTTCTGGAACTATAATTGTCAAGCAGCTTAGTAGAACTGAATTTCCCCTATTTTTGCTTTTTTCCCTCAGGATCTTTCAATTCAGTTATCCAATGCTCAATACATAAGTAGCTCTAACACTGACCCCTCTTCTCCTTTGAATCACAGATTGCAAACACACACCCCTCACACTCGTGCACCCTAGGGAATCAATACTCTAAAACTGGGTTTTCCTGAAGTTGAAATTATCTTTTAACATCAAAATGACTTACTGCTTTAGAGGAGTCCCTCATACTAACAAATTTTATGTCTTTTTCCTAAGAAAAGGTAATATATGCTAATGAAAAGGTAAAATACAATGAAAAGACATTTCAGGAAAAAGTTAACCAGTCTTTAGATGATTAACATCTGTGTTGCACTCTGTCTCTGGGCATGTTGCAGACACTGCTTAGTCCGCACAGCAAGCCAAAATATGGATGTAATTTCTTCACATAAGCATATGGAACTTGGCTAAAACCCTTTGAAGCGTCTCAACAGGGACTTGAACCCAGTTCATTTGTACTCAAGTGCTGAGTTACTAAAATTCTCATTTTACAGTGTAATGATGCATAGAAAAGTGAGTCACTCAAATTTATTTGGTCAGAAATCTAGATCTTCTAACACTGCGGTACTTAATTTTTATTACTTTTCCGTTAAGTTACCAAAATGTTACTTAGTTTTATATAATCAACAATGAAGTGAAATGATTTAAAAAACCTTTTCTTGGGGCCAGGGATTTAGCTTAGTGGTTCCGCTGCCTACCACACAAGCACAAGGTCCCGAGTTTGATCCCCGGTACCAACAAATAAATAAATAAATAAATAAATAATTGTTTCTTCTTTTGATATAGTTTCTTCATTGGAGTCATGTGCACTAAAAGTTGAATGTATCTCTGATTAACATAATAATGAATTTTGGTGGAGGAGGTGGCTTAAACAGAATAATCTAAAAATTTCTAAAGGAACTGGAAATACAAATTGAGATCATATCCCTGGTCTTATCCTTCTTATTTGAACTTTTTAAGTTAAATTCTGTTTTCTAATTTGCACAAAAGTATTAAACAGATAAAAGTTCCTTTGAAACATAATAGTATAGCATAGCACTTTAGTAATACTTTTTTTTTTTTTTCTTTTTGTGCTGGGCTCAAACCCAGGATCTCAAGCAGGCTAAGCATTTGCTCTGCCACTGAACTCTACCCCCAGCACTCAGAAATATCATCAGAAGGTCTCATTTATTTCTGTGATAAATTTGTATCAGAACATTGGAAATGTAATGCTTTCTTTTTTATTAAAAGAGTCATTAACAAAACTTTTCAAATTAGTTATGAACATACATGGTAGTTTTATTTCAGCCTTGTTTCAAGAAGAAGAAAATCTTGGTGGGGCCAGTTATAGGAAAATTTAGAGTGTACATCAAAAGAAAAAAGCCTAAAGTTATTTTTAGATTTTGACTTTCGGCTGATAGTGAATAGTATGAGTGGATAACTCTCTTGTTTACAAGTCTTAATCTCACTAAAGTTCATTAGAGGTACAAAGGTTTTATCAAGAAGGCTAAATCTTTTCCTTAAGGAGGTTATGCAACTTCGAGATAATTTGTCTTTAAAGGGGTCTGATAAAGAGTCCTCATGTGCTTCTAGTCAGTAAAATCAGAAAACTGAGGCTTACTGAGGTTTTTCCAAGATCACTCAGTTTGGTCAGTTATAGGAATGAGAAGGTAAAATTTCTGGTGCCCTCGCATAACTTACTAGTAATAAAATGCCTTGGTTCTGGCCACAGTTTGAATAGAGCCTTCAAAACTGTCCCTGTGTATAACACTCACAAATGCTTGATAAGCAACTTTTGAAATTTTAAATTAGCTAGTAAGAAAGTAAAGGAAAACTTCAATAGCCAAACACAAAGATAACCAAGAATCAAGAAAAAGGTGTGCAACTGCTGAAAATGGTTCTTCCTAAGATGCCACACCAAACATAAGTGACACGATGCTTCAATTTCACAAGGCTTGTAAGTCTCAGGGACTTCAGATGAAATATAGATCAGTGAAAGGTGGAAAATCAGTTCAGAGAATCTTACATAAAACTGGGACATGGAAAAGAAATATTTTCAGTCAAAGGCAATCCAAAATAATACTATTCAAATCCCATTCCTACTATGCCCTTCACTCTTTAACTAGGAGTAGAATTGTTGGGTTAAGCTACATGCTTTAATATTCCTAGAGAATGTAAACATTTTCCAAAATGGTTGCCAAAGCATAGGTTTGTGTTGTTTGTTTGTTTTTTTAGTCAAAACTATACTTTTCCTTGGGGGGGGGGCTTGATTCATGCTAGTAAATTTACAACTAATATTTTCTGTGAAAACTCTATCAGCTCAGATATCAGATAAATGTAGGGGTAGAATTTAAACTAATTGTGTAGCCTGAATGTTTGCCAGTTAAAATTTATAGTAAAGTAATCCTAGCTAGACTGTATCAAATGAAAATAGAATTACCACAGAAACTTATTAAAGGGACTTCTTGAGAATAAATCGATGAAACAAAATAATAATTGATGAAAAATTTGATATGCAAAAAAGAATGGCAGGGGCCAGGGATTTAGCTCAGTGGTGCTGTGCCTGCCTTGCAAGCACAAGGTCTGGAGTTCGATCCCCGGTACCAAAAAAAAAAAAAAGAATGGCAAACAATATAATAACAATATGACTGAAAAATACAGTGTTTAAATATTAAAAATTATAAGAGTAAAAGATGTATTGCCATCAATCCCCCTTAAAATACTCCTCCTCACTTCTCATACATTTGTATCATCATTCTTGCTACTTTCTGAAGCGGTTCTGGAAGTTTCCTTTAGTGAGTGTTTTTAGTTGCACTGTCCTGGTTGCCTCTATATTTTGAATAGATTAAAAACATTTACCTTTCATGTGCCTTTTGATTTGGGGACGAGCAAAAACTCCCATGGTGCCAGATCTGGTTAATAAGATGGATGAGGACACACCATAATGTTTTTATTTAGAAATTGCTGTAAGATGTTTTAATTGATTTCATGGCAAACATGAAATGACAGTCATAAAAGAGGACTTCTAGAACAACTTCAAAAAGTGGCAAGAACACTGAAATAAGTGTGTTTGAAGTAAGGGAAAGCATTCTGAGGAGAGTTAATGGCAATGTGTCTTTTATTGAAATAAATTGTTTTATTTAAACATTCACTATATATTTTTATTATACATCATAAATACTGTAAATCTAAGTGAACACTGACCAAGAAAAAGTATGGTGATAAAGACTGAGTAACATACTGCAGAGTGACAGTGTGTAAATTTGGAAATTTTTAATTAAAATTATAGCACTCTATAGTCCTTATTTGTTAGAAAGGAAAATAATAACATTAATTTTAGGTCCTAGGTTTTACTAAAATTAGTTACATAAGTAAAGATTACTAATGTAACCACTAAAAGCATAAAAATAGAATTCATAAGGACAAATCTTGCAGAAATAAAAATACTATAATTAAATAAAAATCAAAAAGAAGATAAAGAGAAAAATAATATTTTAAGAAAGGAAATGTAGAAAGTACAAAACAAAATGGTATGAAAAATCAAAATATTAATCACAAT